CATGGGTAGGGTTTCTCCCTGGTGTGGATTCTCTGGTGTCTAACATAGTAAGAAAAAAAGCTGAAGCATCTCCCACATTCCTCACATCTGAAGGGTTTCCTTGCACAGAGGATTGTCTCATCCTTTCTTTTAATTTTTTCACTGTGGGGATTTCCTGGTGTTTCTCCAGTTCACATGTTTCTAGAAAGTCACTTTCCTGAGAAACACTCTGTGGCAGCCCATGTGGTATCATCACATCTCTTTCTTCAGAAATTCCCTGAGTTGATGTGGACTCACTGTCAATGTTGGTCTCAGCATCTGACATGAGAAATGGAAGACACATGCCACCTGAGCATTATACTAGAAACAAAAGGGCACTGAAAGTATAGAGTCTCTGGAGACTACTATTCCAAACTCCATGTAGCCTGCCAGAAATATAAACCTATTAAACCGGAAGAGCCAAATATGACAGAGGCAGAAAATAGTAGCTGTGGAATAGGAAATGAGATTTTGAACCCAGGTCACTACACTTCCCAACAAAAAAGACTGCTTCCTATGCTTCTCCAGACCTGTTTGTCCCCAATAACTTGTGACTTCATAGTACTTAAATGCTTGAAAATGCTCTGGAGGAAGAAGCACAGAATCTGGAGCAAGAGGCAACACCTAGTGGGCTACAAGAGTTGAGCATATGCCACCTAACTGTTAGAAATGGCTGAGTATGTGCTGTTGTGGGACTCAAAACGTGTCTGCTCATCTACTTAGAAAGAGGAGAACACAGTTTTCTTTGAGGCCCAGGAGACTGCACGGTGCCCTCCTTTGCATACTGAGGAACAGAAAAGCCTCAGGTGAGAAAAAGACAACAGGAACAGGCTGTCTAGTGGCATTTGTATTTCCAAAGATTGGAGGACATTTTCATTAAGTTTGTTGAAATTCAATCCATTTTTTTCTAAAACTGAGTTAAATTTCATATTCAAATGTTGATATTTATCAATTTGTACTCTTTTTAATTAAACATCTGTGGTTAAAAGCAGATATTAGCATTTTTATGCCATTTGCAAAATAACATTATATGCAGATTGCCTGTTTATCTTCTGGGTTTTCTTGTTTTTGTTTTTTTTTTTTACAAATTAGCTGCCCTTGATCTTAAAGCACTAGAACATAAGCTCCACAAAAGCAAAGGCTTTGTTTTCTTTCTTGCTGTATCCTAGGTGTCTTGAACAATTCCTGACACACAGTAGATACTAAATAAATGTGATAAAATAAATGACTGAATAATTATTTGTTATCTGTATAAATAGACATACAGGGGTGCCTGGGTGGTTCAGTCAGTTAAGCGTCCCACTCTTGATTTCGGTTCAGGTCATGATCTCAGGGTCATGAGATGGAGCCCTGAGTCAGGCTCCACACTGGGCATGGAGCCTGCTTAAGATCCTCTCTCCCCCTCTCCCTCTTGCCCCTCTGCACTCCCCCAGCCCACTCACCCCCTCAGGGAAAAAAAAAAAAAAAGCATACAACTTATGTACTACAATAATAAAATTATTATGACTTGAAAGTTAACTGGATCCATGTTGTAACATAACGGCTGATAAGTTCTGTTTTAATAGGGAGTGGGGGTGATCCACCCAGTTCTCCGCGCATGCCTGTGTGCATGTGGATTTGGAGGATGGGGCTTCTGCAGAAGGGAAACAAGAGAAGGAGACAGCCGAAACTGTGAACAAACAGGGAAATAACAATCTGAAAAACAGTGACCGGAACAATGTGGAGCCTGAAAGTCAATTCTCATGTGCTGTTTGGCAGAAAGCAAGTGTCACACAATCCAGATTAGAATAATAGATGACAGAGAAACCCCCTCCTTCCCCGATACCCTAGAACCCTATCATTTGAACTTATCAGCTTCCCCACAGTTCTTTCAAGCAATCACCACTTTCCCTAAACCTCCAACTGGCCCCTCACTTAACCCTCCTGTCAGTATCACCTCTTCCTTGCTGGGAAAACCAAGACTGCCTCAAAGGTGCTCCTCAACCTCCTCACTATCCACCCCCACAGGGTGGCACCCATCTCCCACATTCCCTTTAGGGCTTCCCCTCTCCTCACCTGGATCCCAGCTCTGCCCACTCCTCTAACGAAGCTCATCAGGTATATCCTCTCCCTGCCCCCCTTTCACCTTTTCTGACTTTAGCTACTCAGGTCCACCTGAGGGTAATTATCTTGCCTAGACTAGCTTTTTTTTTCCCCCAACTGTTTGAGAATCACGAGTAGATCATGAAATAAATGTGGCAGAATGCAAAAAGAAACTTTTTAAGAAGTGAAAGACATCAGACTAGATTTGAATAGAGAATTCATAGAGAATACCAGGTGTCAGAGCAAACAGGAAAGGTAAGCTCTAAATCTGAAACTTTGGCTTCAGTTATTTATAAAAGCATATATACTAGGTTGTGACTTAAGCTGTATTTCTTACTGTAGGTTACAGTAAAAAAATGTTTGCAAAACATTGCCTTAAAGCTACTGTTTACAGTCTTCCTTTCATTCCTAACCCTCCCAAAAGAAGGTAAGTGTTTCCCTAACATGTTCATACCCCACTTACCTCTCCACGGGCTTCTACTCCATTGCCCACCAGCTTCCCTGGAGCCCTTCCCACCCTTAGCTTCAATCTCACTCCTCTCCTTCCTCCTCCCTCTCTCTTCAACCCTAAAAAATCTTTAAGATCCTCTTCCCCATCTCCTCTATTTAGGGACATTTCAGCTACCTGGAGTCCTTTATGCAGAGCAAGGGATCTCAATCTCAGCACTACTGACATTCACAGCCAGATAATCCTGTTGTGCGGGGTTGTCCTGTGCAGTGGAGGATACCCAGCACCATTCCTGATATGGTATCAGCCCCTTCCCCAGTCTGCACAAACAAAAATGTCTCCAAACATTACCAAATGTCCCCTGGGGACAAAGGTGGCTGGCCCCTGGTGAGAACCACTGATATGGAGGACTCCCACATATACAAGGTGATCATAAAGTCTGGAAAAAATACATAAAGATGTATTTTTTAATAGACTGAAGATGTCTTTGACACCATTATGTATGCCTGCCTAGGTTTCCAGACTTTGGCACCCTGTATAATCACAGCCTTGACCTTGTCCCAACATCACAGAGTTGCATTCTCAAGCGCCTGCTATACCCAGGGAACTGTATGTTTCAGAGAAACTCAAACTTCATGGGATAAGTCTACTGTCCTCGTCACCATAAAAGCTATTTTTATATCAAGACTCATTTATGTTTACTGCTAAGCTTTATCAGTGCTACCTGACACCTCTACAATCATTTCTATCCCTGCATCACCCTGGCCCTACCCTTATGCAGGCCTCCAAAGTTATTAACTGCAATATAGCAACAATATAACAAGGTTTTATGCCTTAATTTCCCCCACAGTCCAGTCAAATTACATATGATGTCCAGTTAATAGTTTTAAAACATAGTAATCATGGGCTTACGTCATACGCCACTAGTGGCAAGGTCACTGTGCCGGGGTCCCCACTCCTGCTCCATGTCCTTTTGCCAGCTCTCTTATATCCTATTCCCATGCAGTAAGTTTCCTAGGACAGAAGTCTTCAGGGCTGCCTTAGCCTCTGTGTTCTAGGCTTTCTATACATACCAAAGATGTTTATGTATGGCTGGCTAAATAAGAGGGCTTAAGGATATGCTCTGTAGTAGAGCAGGGCTGTTCAAAAGAAATATAATGTGAGCCATAAACACAAGCTACATATGTAATTTTGTTTTTATGGGAGCCACATTAAAAAAGTAAAAAGAAAAATGGTAAAATTTTAATATTTTATTTAACCCAGATCTAAAATATTATCATTTCAACATGAAGTCAACATAAAAATTATAAATGAGATCATTTACACTATTTTTTTTTTTACTAAGTCTTCAAAATCTGGTATTTTATACTTATAGGACATTTCAATTTGAATTAGCCCCCCTTCAAATCAAGAGTTTAATAAGCACACACAGCTAGTGGCCACCATGTTAACGGCACAGAAGTAGACAAAAGGAAGTCCTGCTTAGGCTTTCAGTCCTAAGCCTAGGTTCCTAAACACTTCCTTAAAAAGATAAAACAATTTATGTTCACAGGTGGGCCCCAGAAATGTCCATTTTAAAATACGCTCCCCTCTGGGCGCCTGGGTGGCTCAGATGGTTAAGCGTCTGCCTTCGGCTCAGGTCACGATCCCAGGGTCCTGGGATCGAGCCCCGCATCGGGCTCCCTGCTCCTTGGGAGCCTGCTTCTCCCTCTGCCTCTCTCTCTCTCTGTCTCTCATGAATAAATAAATAAAATCTTTAAAAAAAATATATATAAAATAAAATAAAATACGCTCCCCAGGTAATTCTCCCGCACATCAAATCATGAAGCTCTTCACAATTATATGGTGACATACATGATCAAGGTGTAGTGATATCTCATTGTAGTTTTAAATTGCATTTCCTTAATGGCTAATGATGTCAAGCATCTTTTCATTTGTGTGTTCCCTTTGGTGAAATGTCTGTTCATACTTTTCACACATTTCCTAACTGGGTTGTTTTGTTTTTGTTGCTGAGTTTTGAGAGTTGTTTATATATTCCAGATACCAGTCCTTTTCCAGATATTATATTATGCCAGGAATTATACTGGATCTTTTATTATTCCTTTCCTCCAGCCAGATTATCTTCCCCCCACCCCATCTGCAATGTTCTTATCTGCTGAATACAGAACATGTGGCCTGCCACTGAAGGAGTGTCACCTGATATTATTCTAAGTGGGAATTCCTCTAACTCCTCCTGCTGGGTCCCACAGCCTGCTGCGTATATACCAACAGTATACCAACAGCACTTAACACATTCTCTCTTTTTTAGCTAACTCTGTCTCCATAATTAGTATCCTCCAGAGCCTCTCAAACAAAGAAGTGCCATTTTAGCACACAGCAAGTGCTCAAAAACTGGTAAACCATGCATCTAACAAAGGACTATGGTTGATGGTTCTAAACCTGCCTCACCTACCTTTAGAGACATCACTGGTATTCTCCTGTGGTAGATCGTCCTGTGGCTCCAGGCCCCAACGCAAATCCCCTCCTTCCAGAAGTGAGATCAGGGCAAGTCTGCAAACTGGGTATCCTGAAAAGGAGGCAGAAAATGGCAATGGAGGGGAGTCTCATGTTAGTGTTTTTGAGGCACCACATAACCCCGTGTCTGCAGTCAGAGAAGAAAACCCCAAAGCGGCTCAGTAAGGATAAGGCCCATAGAAGTGGGCTGGAAAGTGGGGAAGCCCAAGGAGATTTTTGATCAAGAGGAAACTGAGCATTTGTGACCTCTTCATAAAAAATCACAGAGTTTGTCAGTGAAGTCCTGTGAGACACATGCAAGCACAGAAAAGCAATGAGGGAAGTCTTCCTTAGACCACTGGGAGAGTTGAAGGTACTACCTTCAACAGAAGATACTTCTTTCCCATAGTGCCCTGCACAGAACTCCTATGGTGGGAAGTGTTCTCACCAGAGAAGGGCCAAACCCACATTAGACCCAAACTAACCTCGGACTTCTCCCTCCATCCCTGCCTGACATTTTCTGGGGCTGAGGGTTTAGGAGTTTTTGCCCCTGTAAATATGTAAAAGGTTATGAGATTCACACCACAATCTACCCTACCCTTGTCCTATGAATCTGAGTCCCAAAGGCAAAATGGCCTTACCCAGGGAAGTCAAGTTCCCATAATTTGTCAGCATCACCTCCCTGTACAGGGCTCTCTGTGCAGGAGAAAGGCCAGCCCATTCTGTCCGGGTGAAGTAGACAGCCACGTCCTCGAAGGTCACCACCTCCTAAAACAACAGGTTCCTGCTGCCCCAGAGCCAATCCTCTGGCTCAGAGCCAGAGTGTGGAGCACAGGGGACAGTGTGAGGTTCTGAGGGACAGTCCCATGATGGTTGGGAAATGAAGAGTAAAAGGACAAGGCCCTGAGTGCTAACGAATGACCACACCTACAACCAGCAACTCTGAGACCCCTTCATTGTCAGAGCAGCTTCTAATTACACATGAGACTTACTATTACAAGAGGCAATGTCACATTATAGAAAACTGGAACCAAGAAAATCTTTCACAAATTCACCTCCCTGAAGTAAACCCTCTTCATTTTTGTATATGCCCTTCTGGTCTTTCAGACACTCTATGAACAGATGACTGGCCTCCGACTGTACTTCTCATGGGTGACATGCCAGGGATGTCCCTGCTGCCTGTCCCCACTTTACTGATCAGAGTCCAGCCTATCCATCCTGCTCCCTGCACTTACACTGAGCCCTGTTCTATGTCCACATCTGCCTGCCCTACCCCAATCCTCACAGCTACCTACGGGGAACAGTCATGGTTTGTCCAAACAGGCCCCATTCCCTGAAGCCCTCACCTGATACAGAACCCTATTGTGCAACCCACCCCTCCACCCTCAACAAAAGGGGGCTATGCTGCCTCTGCTTAAGCCCCGCCAGCAGAAAGAACTCTGGAGTTGGAAGAGCCTCCTTAACTCCAGGCAGTCTTCCTACGACAAAGTGTTTCTTGATTCTAACTGTTGCTCGGTGGCTCTCTGGCTGTCTCTCTTTATACCTCTCAGCTAAGCTATCCTCTGCCAACCAAACCGCCTGCCAGCCCAAACTCTTCCTTCCCAGACAGCACAATGATGTGGTCCTTCTTATCTCCTTGGTGTCCTCCCCGTGTGGACACGATCCTCACTCCAAGGTCTCATGTGGTCCTGGAATCAGTCACATGCCAGCCTCAGATGCCCAGTGACCCACACGCCACTTATGTTTCTGATATGTCCATTCTGAATCTGGCACCCTCCCTTAAATGGCTGCTTCTAATCCTGCTCAATACAAGAAGAAACAAATGGTAAGTGCTCACATCTGATGCTGGTCATTATTTTGATTCCCTGTCCCAGCCAGTAGCACCACTTTTAGCCTGGTCTCCTTGGATGGGAACCTAAGAATCATTCTCAACTATCCCCCTAGTCACTGCTTAGCTCTGGCAAGCAATCAGGAATCAAATCCTGCCAATTCTATCTCCTAAATATTTCTTGGATCTGACTCCTATGCAACATCATTAGTCACCATATAACTCAAGTCCTCAGCAACTGTCCTTTGGACCATGGCAATGGTCCCTAATTCCAGGCTTATCCTCCAAGTCCACCTCTGTCCAGCACATAGAAAGATCTTTATAAAATGCCAATCTGACCTCAACTCTGTGAGCTAATGCACTTAGATGGATCACCATACCACGACAAGCTCCAAATTCAAGAACCTGAGCCTGAGTCTTACAGGCAAAAAATGTTAGATGACAGGATGGCCCAAGACTGGAGACAAAGAAATTGTTGAGAGGCTTTGCTGACAATATCCAGGAAAGGGAAGATAAAATCAGGAAAGCCAGGGGCACCTGGGTGGCTCAGTCGGTTAAGCGTCTGACTTCAGCTCAGGTCATGATCTCGGGGTCCTGGGATCGAGCCCTGCATTGGGCTCCCTGCTCAGCAGGCCGTCTGTTTGTCTCTCTCCCTCCCCTTCTGCCCCTTCCCCCAACTCATGCTTTCTCTCTCTCTCTCAAATAAATAAATAAAATCTTAAAAAGAAAATCAGGAAAGCCATACAAAGAAGGGACAAATGGGTGCTGAGACAGGAATAACAGAACTTGGATTGAATGAACAAGGTGACAAAGGAGAGTGAAGAGTCAGTAATGACTAAAAATCTAAAAACAGTGACCAGGGATGGTGGCATGGGGATACTAGCAATTGGCAGGAAGTGCAGAAGTAGTGGGAGGTGTGAAGGGTACAAAGAACTGTGTCTCTGATGTGTCGAGATTAGGCTTCCAGGCAAGGCCATACTAATGGAAAGGAACCCAGACAATGGAAGATCTGGGACTGGTACTTGGGATAAGATCATGGATGACAAGATGCGACACAGAGAAGCCTGAAGAAGACAGCCCATCAAGTAGCACTCAACAACCCAGCACACTGCAGAGCTGAAAGGCATCTGGCAGCATCTTTCTCCTAACATGGAATGAGTAGCATTGTTGCCATCTGACAGACAAGGTCAACTGAGGCACAAAGAGGTTAGGCGACTAGCTCAAAGTCACAATGCCCCTGAGGGCTGATAGGGATCTCCTCTAAAATTAAATTTCCTGTCACCTAGTACCACGTTTCATATTGCAGCATGCTGCTTCCCTCAACCAGAAGTACTGAGCCTTGAGACAGACATTCATGTGCCCTTCCTGAACCAATTCTTTCCTCACTGATCCAGAGCCCCCAACTATGCTCTCTTTTTGGAGGACAAATTGTATATGCCCCCTTTTTCTTTTCTTCCTCCTACCATCCCTCTGGTCCCACCTCCCAAGAATCTTGCCACCTTGTTGGTCTGGAACACTCCTGCCAAACACTGGATACCTCCACCACCAGCCTGAGTCCCTTATCTCATGGATCCCTCTGTGGGGCTCCCTTCTGAACCTGGGGGCTCTCCAGCTCAGCGGAGATCCTCAGAGTGCAGGAGGCTTTACTTCCAATTCCTCACTCTCTCTAGCCACTGCTTCCTGGGCTCTGGAGTCTCTGGCTGCTCAATCTATCATCGTCAGCTCTTTCCCATCATCCAGTCCCACTCTGGGGATGAAGCGAGGCCTTCCTGCTGCTTTGGTTCTAACACTTTTGCCCAAATCACTCCTCTTATTTCCCATTCCTTCAAAAAAGATTTCTTGAAGGATCTGAGGGAATCACAGCTCACCTGGTAACAGGCATTCAGGGGCATGGCTGCCGTCACCTGGGCTCCGTTACAATGAAGGGGAGGGGCTGAGGGAAGAAGCAAAGAGAACCAAGAGTCAATGACTTTCCTTTAAATATGCAAACCTGTATTAGCTGCTAATATTAACTGACATTCACTCTAGGCTTGCAATGTGCCAGCTTCAGAACTCAGACTTTACATTCATTATAACACTAGCAGATATATAAAACTATTGTCCTCATTTTACCAAAACAAGGAAATGAGACTTAGAAAGTTTAAGTAATTATTTTAGGCCACAAGAGCTGTATTCATAACCACTAGGTAGTGCTATCTTTCCTAGGTAAAAACAATACAGCAGGGCAAAAATATAAATAAACAAAAGCAAAACAAACCAAACATTAAAAAAAGAACCCAGAGAACCTACATGAGAAACTGGCAACAGTAGTTGCTTCTGGTGCAGGAAGACTGAGAAATTGGAATCTGGGACAGAAGAAAGACTTTCTTTTCACTCTATGCATTTTGAACTGTTCAAATTTTTAGCATGTACCTTAATACATTTTAAAATATAACAGCTTGTTTAAAAATTAAAAAAAGAACCCAGGAATAAACTTAATAAGAAACATAACAAATTTATGTAAAGAAAATTATTATAAAATATTATTGACAAACATGAATGAAAAGGCAAAACATGTTCCTGGATTGAAACAATCAATATTAAACTTTTTGTAAATGCTGACTTTCCTCCAAACTAATCTACAAATTTAGTAATAACTTCCTTTTATGAAGAGCTTGTACATGCTCAGCATCATGCTAAAATGCTTTATACACATCTTCTCATTTATCCCTCACAACATTCCTTTAAAAGAGATTTAGGTTTTGGGTCCCCCCTGCCAAACAGATGAATAAACAGAAGCTAAGAGATTAAGAGACTTTACCAAGCTCACACAAAGAACAGACGGTCAAACCTGGATTTTAAGCCAAACTTGGATTGCATGCCAAGTTTGCCAGATTCCAAGAGCCATACTTGTAAGCAGCTAACCAATACTACTTTCAAGCAAATTATGAACAGAATTTATTTAGAAATCTGATAAAGTGATTCCAAAGTTGATACAGAAGAAGAGTCAAAATAGCCACTAAAATTTAAATAAAAATGGAAAATAGGAAAGAAAAATTTGCAGTACCAGATGCTAAATGTATAATGAATAAAGTAGACTGGTACAAGAACATACTGCTAGAACAATAAAACAGAATCTAAGACCCAGGAAAGGCTAAAGCATAAAAGTAAATGAGAAAGATGGCATTCCAAATCAGTGAGGAAAAGGGACAGATTATTCAATGAACAACACTGGGAAATCTGGTTAACTACTGAAGAAAAAATGTGTAATTAAATTATCTCTTACCATACACTGAAATAAATTACATATGCACTAAAATTCTGAGTGTGAAAAACAAAACCAAAGAAAATAAAGGTAAGTAAGTCTATATCCCAGGGTGCAGAGACGTCTAGGATGAGCAGTTGCAGCACAGTGGTAGGGTCACAAGCCAAATGACAAAGAAACAAAGAGAAAACTCTTAAAATGACAAATTAAGGTACTTTAAAACTTCTGGCTTAAATGACTAAGGAAAACTCAAAAGCAAACTAGGAAATTAACTCTACAACATATGCAAAAAACATTAATAGTCCAGGTCCTTACAAAACCAGTGAGAAAAAATCGAACATCCTAGAAAATATCACTAATAGGCAATTCACTTATAAGTGAATCACGGAACCGCCAGCCTGGGGCTCTGGACGGAAACCTCCCAGTCTACACTCACCTCCGGCAGTGAGCTGCTGGCGGTGGAACGCAGGTGCAGGGCATTGAGGCGCGCCGGAAGTGCGTCACCGCGCCAGCGCGACTCCCGGACTCGCGCTTCCTCGGCTTTAGGACGCTGCAGCTTCTTCGGATTTCTCTGGGCTCCGCGACGCGGGCCGACCCTTGCGGGGACGAGGCGGCTTTCTCTTCGAAGGGCTTGCGGTGGCACAGACTTTAAACCTTCGTAAGGGGCGGAGGAAGCCAAAGGCCATCCTGGATGAGCGCTAGTATCTGGGGATTTTCTTATTTGGCTGTACTCAAGCTGGTTCTGCTCATTGGACCAGGTCTGATTTCGTTGTAGATCTATGAGTTGTAACTGCAGTGTGAAAAATGCATTTTAAGTCAGGCAAGAGAGCACTTAGAAGGCTATTAAAAAGGCCCCGTCACAACAATGAAGAAGAGCTGGATGACTGGCAGCAAGCTATTCTATAACGGGCAACAGCTGTAACTATAGATACAAACATATTTATATGTACACACGTATTCAGCCTTCTGGATGGTGCCTCTCTAGAAATTAATCTTTAAGTATTCTTACTTTCCCATTACACAAAATCAGCATCCAAACTGCTCCAAAATCGCCAATGTTTATTCTGTCTCAGTGCCCTTGGCTTGACAAAGAACAAAATATTGGAGATGTGCCTTCTTCACCTCAAGATCTATTATTCCACTGAGGGAACTGAATCCTATAAAGATGAAACATCAGAGATCGCACAGTGATGTAGGAAGCTTCTTGGCCATTTTTGCATTATGACCCTGACTTTTATCTCTGTTCTCATTGCTTCAACTCAGTCATTGAGGGCCTCAACATCACTTGGGGATCTGCAAACGCTTCCAGTCCTACATCTCCATAGACAGATAAATAGCAGGGCCTGATGAAGTTGGACTGTAAGCTCTGTAATTCAGTTCAAATTCAACTAGATAAGAACAATACTCTAGGCAAGAAGCCTATTGCTCTGATACAACCAGACAGTCTCTTCTTGGGGTGGGGGGGAGGGGGCGCGCTTCTTGCTGGACAGGGGTTTGGCACTTTGGCTGCTCATGTTCTAGTATTTGGGGATTCTAGTATTGGGGGATAACTACTCATGTTCTTAGAGGCTCAGAAGATGGAGCTGATGAAACTTTTAGTGAAACAATACAGACACACTAGAGCACAGTATGACAGAGATGGAAAATACAAAAGAGGTTAAGAAATAAGAATAAAATGAGAATATCCATTATACAGCTAATATCCAAAGGAAGAGAATATTAAGTATGAGAACAAGTGAGAAAGATATAGGGAAATGGGTACTCATATTTTATTCTTCAGAATGTGAATATACAGATGCTTTGGAGAGCAACCAGGCAATATCATAAAACTGAAAAACCATATGCACTATGACCCTGTAGGTTATATTCCTATAACCTAAAAAACTCTTGCACACATGTAGAGAGAGTCATTTTGTATGAATAAAAAAATGATAAGCCCCAAAACTTTGATTCAGTTATGGTTAAAATTTTGTTAATACCATAAGCCACGAGTAACAGTGGTATTTGAGAGACTTTGAAAGGGATGAATATTCTTATACATGCTTTTGAGAAATCAATGCCTACATTTCTCTAAAGTATTTTAAAACATTACATACCACTTACCTAAAGGCATTAAAAAGAGCATAAGCCAGATGGGACACCAGTGTAGTCTGAGTCCAATCAATGCATACTCTATGTGGTAGATACTGTGGAGTGGTTCACTCAACATCTTTTCCAGCCTTCTAGTATGCCTTTCTGTACTGAGAGATGGAAAGCTAAACACAAATGTCCCATATTCCCTGTGGGTGGGCTTCTGAGTGGGCTCCACTGATAGATGTATTCATGCAGGACTAACTTATGTGATTCAAGTGTGCAGCTCACCACAGAGGAAGCATTGTTCAGAAGCCCCCCAGCTGTAATCTAGAAGGCAGTTTCAAATCTATTGCAGGAATTAGAGTCCCTTTGATCATACAGACCTGCAGTATTGCTGTGGGAGTCATTCCCAGAAATTAAGCCAGAATCTATTTCTTCATCCTTCCCAGTGATTTTATAGATTTTTTTGTTAAAGATTTTATTTATTTATTTGAGAGAGACAGATCGAGTATGAGCGGGGGCCGAGGGCAGGCAGAGGGAGAAGCCGACTCCCCACTGAGCAGGGAGCCTGAGATGGGGTTCAATCCCAGGACTCTCAGATCATGACCTGAGCAGAAGGCAGATGCTTAACCGACTGAGCCACCCAGGTGTCCCAATTTTATAAATTTCTAAAACCTTGTAATAAATCTGGTTTATTTAAACTAAACTCTTACAAATACACACTGTCGTCTTATAATGAATTTGAGTTTCTAATGCATCCATTAATAAAGAGACAGCACTATCACTGACTACAAAAGTTTTATATTTGCCTCCTAGGGAGCCTACTCACAATATGTAAATATTATGTACACCACTTAGGTTTAAAACATGTTTCAAAAGTATTTGATATGCCTATTCCTTAAGCCAGCCCTATTTATTATTAGTACTATTATAATAACTTAGATGTCTTTTTATTTGTTGACATACAAATAGATCCCCTAGCACAAGACCATGGCCCACAGGGGACCTCCAATCAACAGTAGATATTATCTTGGCACCAGTAAGGTACACCCTGTGGGTCCTGGAGTGTTGCTTAGACCTTTCATTTGTTCAGGTCCTTTTCGTTATCACTCTATAAAGGTTCTCCATAAGTTAGAGGCTCAGCTGGCTTTGCGAGCCTCTTGAGATGTTCACAGACTCTTTGTCTTCCAAAGTTCTCTTGATAGAAACAGGTGCTTACTAGATAGGATGAGTGGAACTGCTCATCTGGCTTGGAATATATCCATTCTTATTTCATCAGTATTAAATAACAGTTTATAAAATCTGACTCCAAAAGTCCCAGGACTTTCCACCAGGGTACACTTCCCAAAGGAAATGCCATCAGAGCACTTGTTCTCAAACTTGGCTGCACATTGGAATCACCTGGGAAGATTTTTAAAAATAGGATGCCTTGGGGCGACTGGGTGGCTCAGTCAGCTAAGCAACTGCCTTGGGCTCAGGTCATGATCTTGGGGTCCTGGGATCGAGCCCCATGTCGGGTGGGGGGGTCCCTGCTCAGTGGGGAGTCCACTTCCTCTCTCCACCTCTCTCCCCACTCATGCTCTCTCTCTCTCTCAAATAAATAAATAAAATCTTAAAAAAAAATAGGATGCCTGGGTCCCACCCCCCACAGCAGTGATTCTCAACTGAGCAATTTGCAAATGTCTTTTTGTTGTTACAACTGGGGGAGGGTCCATAGGCTTCTAGTGCATAGAGCCTAGAGCCCAGGGATGGTGCTAAACATCCCACAATACATAGGAAATTCTCCCAAAGCAAAAAAATTACCCGGCTCCACAGGTCGTAGGGCCAACACTGAGAAACCTTGTTAAAGATTCAACTGTCTAGGTAATACGTTCTTTCTGGGCATGGGAGTTTTGAAACCTTCCCAGGTAATTCTAATATTCTAAAATTCTAGCAAAGTTTGAGGGGGAAAAGTCTGGAGACCTGTTGCCAGAGAGTATTTGAATATGTGGCTAAATTCCTTTTGACCCTTTATCACTGAGTATTAACTGGAAAATGTCCACATCTTCCCATTTGGTTGTGAGTTGGGGGTTGAAGGTGGTTGGAAAGAGGAAGAGTTAGTTGCTTCTGTGAGGAATTTCAGGTTTCCCACAACATGCTGGAAAGGACATCGCAAATTTTGCTGCTTTTTATTCACTTCACTTGGGAGTTGGCTTCTCTGGTATAGCTCAGGAGGATCATTAACTACAGCCAAACAGTCATATCGTGGAAACAGGCCACTAGGAGTTACACCTGGGAGAGGCAACTCCTTTGCAAGCGAACCTCTGCTCCTGCTCTGGAGGATGACAGCTGGTGCTTCTGGGGAGCATCCAGGAAGTGCCACCACCGTTGTGCAACTCCAGGGGGTGCTGTCCACATAGAACACAAAGTGAAAGGCGCTCCCTGGCTCCCATGTCGCCACAGGAAATTTTTACACTCACCAGACTGCCTAGACCTTTAAATCAGACCCTTTTAAATATTTTGCCAAATGAAAATATCCAACCAGCTCCATGTATTTATTCTGATATTTATGTTTTCTCAGATAATGCTGAGAATATATATATACATACATACATACAATATGTGTATATTTATAACTGTGTATATATAATATAAAAATGTTTTTAATGAAACCAGTTTCATATTATATAGAACCAAACACGAACTTGCTTTTTTCATTTAACTTTCTATATTGTCCATTTCACAGGTCCAGACATGTAGATACATTATTCCATTTAATAGCTGCAGAGTATTACACAGTGTAGAACTGATGACCATAAAGAATAGTTGTTTATTGGATACCAGGCAGACCGAACACAGGCATTTCCTGAACCCCATAACATGATACTGAAAGTACAAAAAGGATGGGAATCTACAAGGACATGAGAATGAGACAGGAGATGAAAACAGAAGAGAGATGCCAACACAGTCTGGGAAGATGGAAAGAGAGAAGTGGTAACCAGAGAAAACTGGAACGCTTGCATGCAGCAGGGTGGGGAGGAGGGTGGCTAGGTATTACATGGGTAATACCACGGGGCAAGCTGATTCACCCCGTGGAAAGGCTCAGGAATCAGGCATCAGGTGTCAGATACTTTGCAAGACGGAGATGAGACACAGGACAGAAGTACAAGCAGAAATTGGACCTGCGGGTCCTACCCCCATGTACACAGCCTAGAGACTTCTCCCAAACCCTACAACAATAAGCTTATGCTCGGGGGGCAAAAAATAGCAAAGGGTCAGATTCAAGCAGTAGATTTAAAACAAGGAAATGAATGAAAGTCTGCATACTCAACAGAGAAATATCGCAATGCCTCAACACTGCCCCCTGCCCCATTCTCCCACCTGGCTCTCAAACACTGTCAAACCAGGCTTATATCCTTTGCAGGGAG